CAGGCCTGGGGGTAAAGACCATAGTCCGCCCCCACCCGAATGTTGTATGAATGTTGCTTGGTTTTAATTATACATTATGTTTTTATGTTATTGTATGTCCCCCCCTCCCATACAAGTTGTTAGCCGCCCTGAGTCCCCTCAGGGAAAAGGGCGGCCTATAAATAAACGCAACTATAACTATAACTAACTATTTTTGCTTCTTTGAGATGGGCTTCAACCCATCCGATTCCCAGACAGGCAATTTCCCCTCCAGGCACGAAAGGCGCAGCTGTGCTCAGGGAGAGGCTGGAAGGGAAGCAGGCAGAGGGAAGGGGGGAGAGCAACGGGGCATCAAGGTCTTTCAGCGCAGAGACACCCCCCCCCCCGGGGACACAGAGGGCAAGGCCTGATGTGGCATGTGGGGTGGGGGGCTGTGGGAAGGAAGGAGGCTGGGGGCGAGATTTCCAGGGAGCACTGGCGGGGATTCAGAGGAGAGCCATCCCAGGGGGCAGAGCCCTGTTGAAACCTCTCGGTTGGCGGGTGGGCACCATTCTGGGCTCCCTGTCGGAGGACTGGACGCAGCCTCTGTGGTCCGACTCCCCCTGGGCAGGGCAGGCTGAGGAGTCTCCCCGTCACCCAGCAGACCTCCGGGACTTCCAGAATCCAGAGAGCCAGTTGGCAGCCTCCCTCCGCCCCGTGCTGCTTGGCAAATCCCCCCCCCCCTTGTGACGTTAGCTGTGCATTTCCCCCCACAGTCTTCATGCTGAGCTGCAGCTTCCCACGGAGGCCCAATTTTGGGGAGGTGGCCGTGCTGGGGCTGCACTCGGGGGGCCTGGCTCATTTTAACTGCCACCTGGGCTACGAGCTGGAGGGAGCGCGGAGCCTGACCTGCCTCAATGCTTCCAAGCCACACTGGAGCGCCCCGGAGCCCGTCTGCTCAGGTAGGGGGGGGGAGGAATGGGCAGTGGTGGCCAAAGGCTGGCAGGCCGCCCCTTGACCACCTGCCCCCCCCCCTGTCTCTGCTTTCAGCCCCCTGTGGAGGCACCGTGCGCAATGCCACCTTTGGCCGCATCCTGGCCCCAACCTCTCCGAGGAGCCCCCCGGGCAGCCTGGCGTGTGTGTGGACGGTCAGCGCCCCTGAGGGGCAGAAGCTCCACCTGCACTTTGAGAGGCTGGCACTGGGGCCCAAGGAAAGGTGAGAGACGGCTGATGCTTTCTGAGAGGCAACAAGGGCGGGGAAACAAGACGGCCACCATGGTTTCTAACATTGAGCTGTGTGGTTCAAAAACCCAACCCCTGGCGCTGTTTCCCACCCGCTTGTGCATCAGCTGCCAGGAATAAGGATCCTTCTCCCACCACATCTGGAGCATTTGGCTGTCCAGCAGACGTCGCCAGCACCGCCTTTGAAGTGGCAGGTGTTCCAAGGAGCAGTATTTCTAAAAATAAAAATAAAAATGAGGGCCTGGTAGGCAGACAATGAAACCACTTGATGAGCTGTGCTGAGATTCAAGAGTAAAACACCTGTTTAGCACCATAGAAAACATGGCAGTTTCCCTGGCATCCCTTGGCAGACTTTGCCCCTCTTGATGTCCTCCTAATGGGACCCTGGCACCAGAGAGCAGCTTCAGAAGTGGGAAGAGAGGAGAATGGGGCCCCTGCCCAGCTGCACTGGGCGCAAGGGCAGTGGCCAGGTGGCCCTGAGGCCCATCCTCCCCTGGGGCTTTCACTCTTACACACACACACACACACACACACACTCTCTGACCTTGGTCTTGCCTCTCCTTGTGCTCCAGAATGGTGGTCTACGGGGGAGAATCGAACCGCTCAGCCGTGCTCTACGCTTCCCAGCAGAGCAGCAACGTGCCTTTCGAAGGAGTGATCAGCGAAGGAAACGCCCTGCGTGTCGCCTTCACCTCGGAGGACCCTGACGGAGAGCCCACCTTCAACATTCGGTTCGAAGGTGATGCACTCATCCTGCGGGGGGGGGGGGGGGGCTGCCTCTTGCTGCTGAAGGTGCCCAGTGAAGGCAAGGGGGCTGGGATGCAAACCTCCCCATTCCAAAGGGGGAGGTCCAGGTGATGGAGGGCTGCTGGCAGTGGGGCCAGTCCTCCCACCTTGGAGATCGGGACTAACTGGAGGCTGCCCATTGGGCACGGGAGCAGGTGGGCAAAGGTACCAAGGAAGTCGGGGTGTCTCTGCAATAGTACTGGCCAGACTGACTTCTCCAGAGGTCTCCTGGTGGGTGAGGCGACCCTTGGATTCCTCCAAAGGCTGGAGCAGCCTCCTCCCCTCCTCTACCTGGGGTGGGGGGAGCCGCTCAGCCTGCCCCCCATCACCTAGAGGGGACCTAGCAGAGGGAAACAGGGGCGAAATGATCAAAGCCTTTCCTCTCTTTTGGTGAATCCGGATCCTCGGCCAAGGCATCTTCTTATCTCTCAAGCGGGGAGCACTAATTTTCTGGCCTTTATTGCTCCTGATGATTACTTGCTGCATCATCATTATGGCTCCCTCCTCCTCCTCCTCCTCCTCCGTCTTTTCCCCCACTTAAAATTCTGCCATGCTGAACAGCATTTGATTCTGTGCTGTCTGCAGGCTGCGCCTCCCCAGCCGATCCATCCTCTTCCCCGGGTTCTCTGCTCTTTCCCTGCCTGCCTCAGGAGCCCTCTGCCACCCGGGCATGCCCAAGAAGGCTCTGCTGGCACCCGCTTGGTCCCCTGCAGGCCCTTTGGCAGCCACCAGCACCTCGGAGGGCTCCTGCAGCCCAGCAGGCCGAGGGAGGCCAGAGAGCCCGAAGCCGCATGGGGAGGCCGGCTCAATTTCCCCGGATGAGATCAGGGCCGAAAGATGATAAAACGGTCGGCTGCACATGAGCAGAAGACCTTTAAAGAAAGAAGCTGAACAGAATGGATCCCTTTGGCAGTTCAATGCAACGGGTGGCATCAGAGTTGAATCCTTCTAATTTTCCAGCAACTGAGGTTCATTCAGGGCCCTCTGCAAAATAGTTGCCCCCCGGCCTGAGGCTGCTTCCTGGCTGGGCTGATCACCAAAATGGCCTGTTGGGTGGGGAGCCGCAAGGGCTGCCTGCAGAAGGGGGCGCTGGGGGCCCCCCTGTGCCAGTCCTGCCCTTCTTTCTCCCGTCCCCCCAGCCTTTGAGAAGGGCCACTGCTACGAGCCCCACCTGCAGAACGGCAACTTCACCACCTCCGATGCCACCTACAACCTGGGGGCGGTCGTGGAGTTCACCTGCGACCCCGGGCACAGCCTGGAGCAGGGGCCGGCGGTCATCGAGTGCATCAATCTCAGGGACCCCTACTGGAACGACACGGAGCCCTTGTGCCGAGGTGGGTCGGGTCAGGTCAGGGGGCTCTGCCTGGGAGGGGGCTGCAGCAGAGGCCGCCTGACTCCTATCCTTGCAGCCACCTGCGGGGGGGAGCTCTCCACGGCCGCCGGAGTCGTCCTGTCCCCCAACTGGCCGGAGCCCTACGCGGAGGGCGAGGACTGCGTCTGGAAGGTCCACGTGGGGGAGGAGAAGCGGATCTTCCTGGACATCCAGCTGTGAGTATTTCCTCCAGCTGGGGGGGGATTTCATCCATCTGTACTCAGCATTGGGGAGGGAGAGTTTGCACTTGGGAAAGGCTGTTGGGGGGAGGGGTTTGCTGTCTGCCTGCAGAGTGAAAGTGGGGCTGCGTCAAGGGTGGGGGAGGGGCACAGGCAGATCTGCTGGGTGGTCTCCCTTGACCGGAGTTCCCTCTGGCCGCCTCAGCCACAAAAGCATCCCACCGGGCAAAAGGCAGCCTCTGGATTGGCAGCCCCTGGGAGCTCTTCACGGCTCTTGCTTCACACACACACACACACACACACACTTCACAGCAATTACAGCCTCACTTGGGACTTGTGATTCCTCCCTGCAGAAACCCCTGCGTGGCTCTTGATAATCCAGCTTGAATGACAGATACTTTGATTCTGCTTCTTCCCCACCAATGGCAACACAGGGGGGGGGGAGGTCTGCCAGAGCGGCTTTCTTCTCTCCAGCAACGCAGCATTCTGGATCTTTTGGGGGACGTTTCCCTTGTTTTCGCTGCTCTGGATTGCGAGGGGCCCAAGTGGAGGAAAGCCCAGGGCCCCTACGGAAGGGAAGGGGCTGCTCTTTGGAAGGTCACGACCCTGTCCCGTCTCCCTGGGGTTGCAAATGTTTGCTTTCCAAGGTGTTCAGAATCCTCCAGCCTCAGCCGAGAGTCCAGGAGGAGGAGGAGGAGAAGTAACCAGGAGCACCAATGTCCGTCCAGCAGGCTCCGTGCTCCCCAACCCCTTCTTGCCTAAGAAAAGCCCAATGCAGTTAAGGAAATGGGGGGGGGGGAGGCTTTCTTAAGTCAGCTGGCAACCCCAGCTCCCCCCCCCATTTCTCACAAAACTCTCAAGTAAAGATTGGCAATGTTGGGCTAACAGCTCCCCCTGCTGGCCAGCAGAAGCAGTAAGGCAAAGTAAAGTTTTCTTCTCACTTGGAGCTCCATCTGGGTTGTGGATGATGGGCTCAAGGAAGGAAAGGCTGCAGTCGGCAGCTCTTGTGCTTGCAGCAGCCGAGAGACCTCCTATCCAAGGACAGTCTATCTGTCGGTGGCAAGAGCAGGAAAGGATGCTGCCATCTTTCTTATAAGCTTCTCCGGGACTCCCGGTAACCAGGGCCGGCTCCTCCACCCCCTCTCGCCAGCCAGGGCTCCTCCAGAGGGAGGGGAGAGAAGTTGCCGTCAGCTGTTGGTCCCAGGAGATCCCGGCAGATCTCAGCAGCGGCTCTCTGATCGCCCCTCAGAGGCCGTGATGACCCAGCAGGCCCTTCCCGCTCTCCTCTCCCTGCAGCTTGAACCTGAGCCAGAGCGACATCCTCACGGTCTACGACGGGGATGACCTCAACAGCCACATCCTGGGCCAGTTCCTGGGCCCCAGCGGGCCCCAGAAGCTCTACTCCTCCACGCCTGACTTGACCATCCAGTTCCACTCGGACCCGGCCGGCCTCGTCTTCGGGAAGGGCTTCACCATGAGCTACATCGGTGGGTGAGCCTGGGCTTCCTTGGGGTGCCCCGCTTTTGGCCAGGGAGCCAAGCCTCTGGGCCCCCCGCCCGTTCTCACCAGGGCCCCTCCTGGCTCCCTCAGAAGCCTCGCGGAATGAGTCCTGCTCGGACCTGCCGGAAATCCAGAATGGCTGGAAGACCACTTCTCACACCGAGCTGGTTCGGGAGGCCAGAATTACCTACCAGTGCGACCCGGGCTACGATATTGTCGGCAGCGACACCCTCACCTGCCAGTGGGACCTCACCTGGAGCAGCGACCCCCCTTTCTGTGAGAAAAGTATGGCCCCGCCCAGATCTTACCCCCCCTCTGGGGCTGAGAGAGGCCCTGAACTGTGACGCTAACCAGAGTTTCGGGCAGGGAAATTCCGTTTCTCAGCCATTCCTTCTGGGGTTTCCTCTCCGTCTCTGCCGTGGCAGCCACAGGAGCCTGGCTGGAAAATGGATGGGCACCCCAAGCTGTAGAGGGCAGGTGGGGGGAGAAGGACGGCTGGCTGTCTTTAAGTCCCCTGGCAGCCAGTAAATGGGGAGTCAGTCACTCTGGAACACACACACACACACAGGCCAGCCACACACACACACAACGGGCTGAGCTTGCAAAGAAGGCAGCTGCTTTGACCCGGTTCTATGGGGAGGGTCAGGGCTGCCCCTTCAGGCCGAGGCAGACGGGGGAGCGTGCCGGAGGGTCTGGCCTGAGCCCACCAGGGTGCTCCAGCCTGGCCTCCTGCTTTTCACCCTAGTCATGTATTGCACGGATCCTGGAGAGGTGGAACACTCAACCCGCTTAATTTCGGACCCGGTGCTCCTGGTTGGAACCACCATCCAGTACACCTGCCACCTGGGCTTCGTGCTGGAGGGCAGCTCCCTTCTCACCTGCTACAGCCGGGAAACGGGGACCCCCATCTGGACCTCCCGGCTGCCCCGCTGCGTGCGTAAGTCCAGAGCTCGCCTGGGGAATTCCTGCTTCTCCCTTGTTTGCGGCCGCATGGAATGAGCCCCCCCCTCCCCCAGGAGGGCCCCCTTGCTCACCTGCTCCCCCAATCCCCCCCGTGCAGCGGAGGAGTCCCTGGCCTGTGACAACCCAGGGCTGCCTGAAAACGGCTACCAGATCCTCTACAAGCGCCTGTACCTGCCGGGAGAGTCCCTGACCTTCATGTGCTACGAAGGCTTTGAGCTGCTGGGGGAGCTGAGCCTCAAGTGCATCCTGGGGCAGCCCTCCCGGTGGAGTGGGCCGCTCCCCACCTGCAAAGGTAACTCCCTCTCGGCAAGAGGAGCCCTGCGACCGAAGGGGGAGGGGGAGGGATTCTGCTGGGGGGGGCGTCAGAGGCCCAGTTAGCCATCGTGCCCCCCACCCCACCCCGCCTGACTCCCTGCCTCTCTTCCAGTCAACCAAGACAGCTTTGAACATGCCTTGGAAGGTAAGTCTCGGTCAGTCCCCCCCCCTCTGCCCGTGGGATCTGGGCACCTGGGAAGGGCCGGCTGTGCCAGGGAGCCCTGCAGCCTTTTGTCTCTCTAGTAGCAGAAGCTGCTGCAGAAACGTCCTTGGAGGGAGGCAACATGGCGCTGGCCATCTTCATCCCCGTCCTTGTCGTTTCCTTGCTTCTGGGGGGTGCCTACGTCTACGTCACGAGGTAGGGAGGGAGGGAGGGAGGGTCTCACGCACAGCCACCATGCATGCTCTCCCCTCCCAGCCACTGGCGGCTGAGCCACAGAGGCTTTGCTTTCCTCTGCCCTTCAGATGCCGCTACTACTCCAGCCTTCGGCTGCCCCTCATGTATTCCCACCCATACAGCCAAATCACGGTGGAGACGGAGTTTGACAATCCAATTTACGAGACGGGGGTGAGTTGCTGCCTCCTCTCAGCAGAACCGGCTGGGAGTTAAACGGAGGCTGCCCGGACGTCCCAGGGCCGGATCTAGAGAAGCCACCCTGGGAAGCAGCTGGCCACCGGACACCTTGCAAAGCCACCTCCAGTTCAAAAGGGTCCTCCTCCTTTTGGCCGGGTGGACCTGTCCTTGGGGCTGGGGAGAGCCTCACCCCGGTGCCCTCAGAGTGGCCAGAGCAGGAAGGGGGCAGGGAAATCCCCATTGTTCTTCTTTCCCCACGTGGAGAAGCCCCAGCACCCTGGGACTGGACCGGTGGGTCTGCCAGGGGTGCAGTCAACACGAGTAGCCCTTCCATTTCCTTATTTGAGAGAAAACGAAGCAATGGCAGGACATTCTCCTGAGCCTGCATTGGCCCATTCTCCCAACTTTATCCCAACAAGGGAAGCCCCCCCCAACTGCTCCCTTCTTCAGGTCAACCTCTGAGTGTCAGGTGCGAAGATGCCCCTCCCCCCATGCCTTTCCTGGCCAAGGGCTGGATTCAAACCCCAGGAGCTTCTCTTCAAACGGGTCGCAGGAGGAGATGCATCAGTGACCGCTGCCTCTCCTCTCCCTCCCTCCCCCCCTCTCTCCACAGGAAACCCGGGAATACGAGGTGTCCATCTGAAGCAGCCCCCAACACACCCCACCTCGCCTTCCACCCCCAACATCTCCTGAAGGGACCCACTGGGAGATGTGGTGGAATCTGCCCGAGAGCTTGGACCCCCGCTCTCCTTTCACTTTCCATCCAGCTGTGCCCACTTCTTCCTCTTCGTCTTGGTGGACCCTCCCTCGGTGGCGTCTCCAGCCTCCTGGCGGTGCTGGGCTCAGGCTTTGCTGGCGTGGAGCTGAGCCCACTTGGCAACGCAGCCGCTCGCCCGGCCGGCCACGAGGGACGCCCTTGCTTGGTTCTCCTCCTGGGCCTTGTGGATGTGCTTGGCAAACCTGTGGTTGAAAACTGTGGCTCCCTCTGGTGAAGGGGCCAGACTTGACTTGCCCAATCCGGCCAAAGCACCGACCTCTTGGCAGGGCAGCTCCTCTCCTGGCCCCCTCTGGGCACAGCGGGTGCCACTTCTGCCTCTGCCGGAGGAGCCTTCGGGGGGAAACCCAGCAGCCCTGAGACTCCGGGTCCGCTGGCTGCCAGGGAGGCCCAGAAGCCCAGTGGAGGGAAACCTGTGCCAAGCCCCCTCCCCACTTCCATCACGAGCGAGAGGTATGAACTGCAGCAGCCGCAGGGTGAGCGAGGAGGAAGAAGATGCAGAGCGGGGGCTCTGGAAGATGAAGGGCAGGGGACCTTTTGAGGGGGGTCTCGGACACGTCCTTCCGAAGAAAGCCTTGGCAACCTCTCCCGTCCTCCTGGCCCTGATGACCCTGTGGGCAAGTCCCCCTTTGCTCCGGCACCTGTTTTGCCTCCGGAGACCTGCTGCCAGGATGGACGGAGAGAGGAGGTGGATTTCCAGGCCCTTCTCCCACCCACCTCCTCCCTTTCCCAAGCAGAACAACTGGGGATCCTCCGGAGGCCTCTGGCACTGCCACCCACCCACCAGGTTGCATCAGGAGCCCCCCCGGGGAACCTAAAGGGGACTTACAATGCAGGGGTGAGAGGCCAGCTGGATGAGCCAGAAGAACTCCCGAGACTGGCTGACGCCCCCTCCCCCTGCACCCCCCCACTTGGAGCCATGTCCAGGACAAAAACACCCCCCAAGTGACTCTCAGCTGCTTGTGCTACTGGAGGCCTCTGCCCTGGACCACGTCGGGTTTTAAGGAGGAGAGAGAGAGGAGGCTGGTGGGCTCCCTGCTGCCCCTCTTTCCGTGATGAGGACAGAAGACTTTGCCCTTCTCCTTGCCCCTCAACCCCCCTTCCCCGCCCAAGCCCCCTCATGAACTGGAGGAGGAAGATATTGGGCTGGTTTATTCCCGTCTTTGTAAAAAGAGTGAAAATGTAACCATGACGATTTTTTAAACATGTCTGTTTTAGATTAGAAATCCAGGCTGGTACCTCTCTGCAGGTGTCAGGGGTTTGGGAGGGTGTGTGTGTGTGGGTGTGTGTCCTTCCTTTTAAAGCATCCAGGCCCCTCCCTCCCCCTCCCGTGAAAGTGTCCTGTGGTTTGCGAAGGCTGGGGAAGCAAATGTACACAACGCCTCTCCTCCTCCTCCTCCTCCTCCTTTTCTAAGTGTGATGGGATTAAATATTTTTGAAGATGACGCGACCTCTTTGGACAGGGCTGGCATTGAGTGAGCTCTCCGGTGGCGGAGTGGGAAGGCGCTTTCGGTGGTTCTGAGCTGCTTGGGGTAGTCGTAACAGCGCGAGTGTCGGCTCCTAACAGCTTGGGTGTTTTTGAGCCAGTGTGAAGACACAGCAACAACACGGCTGCTCAGCTGTGATCTTTCCTCTCCAGCAGGAAACCAGATCCTCACGGCTGCCTCCCTCCCTCCCTCCCTGCCTCCGCGGCTGCCAGCCATCAAGGGCTTCCTTCCCTTCATGATGCAAAATCGATGCAGCGTCACGGAGTTTCTCACGCGGCCACACAAGACACGGAGCACAGGCAGGAGGCCACGTGCATCTCGCCCTGCCGGTTTAGATCAAACAAGCAGGGGCCCCAAGCCCTGGACCAGAAGAGCCCCAGGGTTCACCAAGCAGGAGAGAAACGGCCCCTGGGAGACCAACTGGGAGGGGTCTTCCGAGAAGCCTTGGGGGGGGCAGGGAACACCCCCGCTGCCTGACCCTTCAAATGACCCATCCAGCAGTGTCACCGCAGTGGGGCGCCCAGCGTGGCCCTTTCCTACCCGAAGGCCATGTCCCTCCTCACAGCCCAGAAGCTCAGAGCAGGGGGGGCCATCTGGAGGCCTGACTGGCCCTTGCAAAGGGCACCTGCCTCTCTTCCCTCACCCACCTCCGAGGGGAGAAAGGCTGGGAGTTTCCCTGGCCCAGAGCCACCGGGGGAGCTCCGTTGCGAAGGCTGCGCCTCCTTTTCCTGGGCTATGGGGATAGGCATTCCCTCTCCTCCACCCACAAAGGGTCTTCAAGTGAGGGGAGGCTGAGGAAGACCCCCCCCTTTATGCTGCTCTCCTGGCAGCCCCAGGAATCCTTGGGCTGGGGGACAAGGAACCTGGCCCAGCCCAGCTTTACCACAGGCAATTGGGGGGGGGGAGAGGAGGGGACTGGCTGGCCATGGGTCCTGCAGTGCACCAACCAGGAACTTTGTTCCCCTTCCCGAAAGGCTGCCAGGACGGGCATTTGCTCTCCTGCCTGGGAGCAGGGGGGAGGCTCGGCGTCACTTTCTCCCTCTGATGGCTGAGCAGAAAAGAGCGGGGGGGGGGGGTCTGGTTGCTAAGGAACGCCACCCCCTCACTCGGGGGTTCTGCTCGAACAGCCTGCTCTCCAAGGCCTTGATTGAATTGCCACCTGCCCATCCCCTCTGCTGCAACTGACTTCAGGAGGGGGGGGGGGGCTCGGCTATCCTGCTGGGAAGCCAAGAGGTCTTCAGCCACTCCGACTGGGATTCCAGGGGCCGGGAGGGGAGAATCAATGCTGCCTCTGACCAAGATAAGCAGCCCCCACTCCAGCCTGAGTGCTCAGAAGGCCACCTGGGACCCTCTCATTAGCCCCTGCCTGGAGGCCTGGGAGCCTCCTCTCCATCCCTCATTCCCCTTCGGGATATTTGTTGAATGGAGCCCCCACCTTCCCCCCCCCCCAGCCTTGGCTTTCTCCCTCTTACTCCTTTCAGCAATCATCCTGGGGGGGAGGGAAGAAAAGCAGACAACCAACAGATAGCAAGGGGGGGGGGGAGCTCCAGGGAGCATCTTCCAGATCTCTGTGGCTAAATCCACCAGGAAGGACTTGGTGCTGAGGATTATGGGCCCACCCTCTCTGTGATAGGATGGACTACACTTCCCATCATGCTCTTGCATAGCCTCCTGCTGAGACTTGGGAAACCACGGCACATTCTGGGCTAATTGGCCCTCAAGGAATGGGCAGCCTTCCCCCAGCCCTGCCTGCAAAAGAGACCCCCCCCCCAAGGAGAGCAGCAGCCAAGCCCCCCCCCCTCCCCACGGGAGAAGACGCCCGCAGCTGCCCTCAAGCGCCTTGATGCCCTCCTGGGGCAGGACAAGGGGGGGGGGGTTGAGGGATGGCTGCTTGCTGGCTGGGAACCATGGGTAGGGACATGGATTGTGCTGCAGGCTTCTCCCCACACAGACTTCAGTGGATTTCCTCCTTATTGTCCCTGAGTAGCGGCTGAAGAGGCTGGGCTGCTGCCAGCTCAGAACCGCCGGCCGTGCGGCATTGAGCGCCAGAGGAGAGGTTGCCAGGAAGGAAGCCGGAGACTCCGAGGCTGCAGCCAAGGGAGGCGGGATCCAGGGAAGAGTTTGGCAGCCCCCGCAGGGCTTCCACAAGTGCTCCGGCCGAGAGGGGCCGTTTCTCCCATAGCGACCAGGCAGAAGGCGCTCTGGGCGTGTTCGTGGCGTCCTCCTTTGGCGCACCGACGCCGCCGCCGCTTGGAGCAGGTTGCGGAAGTCCCGCTCAGGTCGGCCTCGCCATGAGGGCCGCCGGCCGCCCTGCTGCTTTCATGCCGCCCAGTCGGGCTCTCGTCTCGGCGGCAGCGCTGGGCTTTAGGCGAGGCTCCAGTCAGAGGTCTCGAGGCTTCCGCTGCCCCACGCCTCTTCCCAGGCTGGGCGGCCGAATCTCCGGCCCACCGTTTGGGGCGCTCCCCGGAGACACCTCCGCCCTGTGCCCGCGTCTCCGGGACTAAGCGCCGCTTTGAAAGCATCCCAGGCGGTCTCGTCGCAGATCCGTCCCCGTTTGGAGAGGCCGGCAGGCAGGCGACGTTCCCAGCAGGTCGGCCCGTTCCTCCCTCGCCCCTCCGGCGGCTGCAAAGGGGACCCGGCTCACCCGCGGACGCCAAGCTCCCTCCACCCCGCCCGAGGCGGCAGGGCGCGCCCGCAGAGGCCAAGCTCCCGGCCGCCGCATCCGCAACCCCGTCGGCTGGCCGGCGAGCGAGGCTCCCGCGGCTCCTGCGCCCAGGGCTGCCCACGCGGCGACTGCGCTACGCAGGCGGCCCCCTCCGCGGCGGAAGAAGCGCCGCGCCCGCCGAAAGCCTCGCTCGCTCCCAGGGCTGGCCAGGACGCGCGACGGCGGCCCCTCCCCGGCGGGGCCGGGCGGGCTGCTGGGAGTTGTGGTCCGAGCCGCCAGCGCCGGAGAGACCGTCGGTCGGGACGAGCGAGCGGAACCCGGCGGCAGGTTGGGCGGGCAGGCGCGCGCCGGGGAGGGGAGGGGAGGGGAGGGGCGGGCGCCCCCGGAGCGGCTCTTTTGCCCGGAGGCGGCGCGGGGCGAGGCTGCCCGGAGGGCTCTTGCCCCGCCGCGGCGCCCCTGTGGGCCGGGAGCCCTCGGGCTTCCGCTTGTCATCGCCCCGTCCCTTGGCAGGGCAGCCCTCGCGCTGGCCACGCCTGTGTGGGCTGCGGGTCAGCGGCGTGGGCGGACGGGCGGGCGTCTCCCCGGGAAGGTAGGGGCTTTGGCGCAGGCCCGGCGTCCGGGCTGGAAGTCTGGAACTCCTTAGGCGCAGCGGCGGAGCTGCCCTCCCGGCCTGCCCGATTTCCCTGCAAGCCGGGGAGCCCCGCGGTCCGGCGTCCGCGTTACATAAGGCTGCTTCCGCCTGGGGGGCCCCGACAAGACACGGAGCCTCCCCCGAAAAGGGACCCCCAGAAACCGGGGCAAGGAAAGCCAGAGTCCAAACTGCTTCGGCTCTGCCTCTTTCTCCAAGGGCTCCGATGGGTTGGGGGTGGGTGGGTGGGAGGGCTGCTTTCTTTAAGGGGAACCATCCAGGCCATTTATCTCAGGCAGAGGTTGCCACCCACGTGTGGCCCCCCAGGACGCTTCCCCTGGCACAGCACTTGGCATATAGTGCCCAGGTGCTGCTCTTCGTGGAGGGGTGCCTGGATCTTTGAGGAAGGGCCCTTTTGATGGAGGGCAGCCCCCCCATCTAGGGTGGAGATGGCACCAGAGGTGGGTCTTTCTGTCCCTGTTGCAGAGGGGGTCCCAAGTGGGTCTGAGCTCCACCCGGGCGCTGCCTTGGAGGTTTCTCCCTTTCCCAGCTGGGATGGGTGGGACAGCCCCCCCTCTGGCTCAGGGAAAGGCGCTTGCAGCCCCAGGATGAACGGGCATCCCAGCTTCCCACCTGAGCCAATGAGCCACAGCTGGGTCACCTTTGGGTGCCTTCAGAGCTGGTGACTCACCAGCCTCTGGATCCCTAACCAATTGCTGCCTTGGTGCTAAGTGGGTGGCACAATGTGGAGAGGGAGGGAGGCGGTTGAGGCAGGCGGGCAGCTGGGTGGCAGAGAAAGGGCTGCCAAGGAAGGAGGCAACTCTGCCAACCGCAGCTGAGACTGGCAAAAGGGCCAAGCCCGCTCAGAGCTCAAAGGGAAAGGGTTGCACAGCTCCTTAAGGTTCAGGAATTATAGGAGGTGCCCCCCTGCACTTCTTTGGGGCACCGGGTGGTGGGGTGAGCCGATGGGAGAGGCAGGAAGCCCCCTCCCCAGTGCCCCATGTCTTTTCCTTTCAGGCTGCCCGAGAAGGAAGACCCCGGGGGAGGCTGAATTCCCACAGCCGCTTCCTTTGGAGACCCCGGAAGGAGGAGGATCTTAGAGGGGAGGGCCAAGGTTCTCTCCCCCCTCAAGAGACACGATGCCGCCGTGGGAAAGCCCCTTGATGGGCCAGGAGCCCAGGCCCACAATGGGTCCAGCCCCACCGGCCACCTTGAGCCAGACCCATGGCACCCGGATCCCTAGGAACCCTTTCGCTGCGTGAGCGGCCTTTCTCAGATGGCTGAAGAAGCCGCCCAGATCCTGCCCAGCTTTTCCTGTTGAATTTCCCCTTGGGCTTTGCCCGGCTGCTGCCGAGATGTCCCTGGAGGGGCTGATGTGCTGCCGTGGGTCGCTTGACTGGCTAAGGGAGCTCATCGGCTCTACCATCCAGGCGGTGCGGGACTGCGACCCCCCTGCGCTCGGCACCCTGGGCGTCCTGCTGGCCCTCTTCGTCTGGTACTGCTACCACGTGGGGCGGGAGCAGCAGCCCCGGCCTTTCGCCACGGTGCTCCCGGGGGGCGTGGAGGTGGCCGGCCTGCAGAACGGCTTCAGCCACTGCCGCTCCCCCGAGTGCGTGCGCTGCGCCCAGAGCGATGGGTTGAACCAGAAGCTCTACCACAACCTGCAGGAGTATGCCAAGCGGTACTCGTGGGCCGGCATGGGCCGGATCCACAAGGGCATCCGCGAGCAGGGCCGCTACCTGGCCGGCCGCCCATCCATCCAGCGCCCGGAGGTCTTCTTCCTGCCTGACTTGCCCACCACCCCGTATTTCTCCCGGGAGGCCCAGAAACACGACGTGGAGCTGCTGGAGCGCAACTTCCAGACCATCCTGTGCGAGTTTGAATCCCTCTACAAGGCCTTCTCCAACTGCAGCCTGCCGGACGGGTGGAAGGTCAACAGCACACCCAGCGGCGAGTGGCTGACCTTCTACCTGGTCAACCAGGGCACCTGCGTGCCCCGGAACTGTCGGAGGTGCCCTCGGACATACCGCCTGCTGGGGAGCCTCCGCACCTGCGTGGGCAGCAACGTGTTTGGCAACGCCTGCATCTCCGTGCTGACCCCTGGCACCGTCATCACCGAGCACTATGGGCCGACCAACATCCGTGTGCGCTGCCACCTGGGTAGGTTCCGCGCTCCCCCTGCCCGCTTCCTGGCTAGCGTCCCGGCAAGTGGGGTATCGGTCACCACCCAGGACGAGCGCCGGGTGGCCTTGAGCTGGTCAGCAAGGAGGGAGGCAAAGCGTCCCTGAGGGGCCGGGGGTTGCCCTGCGCTGCCTTCGCTGCAGCGTTCTGCCCGCTCGGAGTTGCAGAGTTTGGGGGCCGCATGAGGGAAAGGAGCTTCATCTGGCATCACCTTCCCACCCGCCAGAATCTTCCAAGATGGTTTGAAAAGGTGGTTTGCGGATGGTGGTGGCAGGAATCGGGTTCTCTGTGCCTTTCCAAGTGGCATCAGATGCAGCCGGTGTAAAGTTTGGAGTTCTGGCATTTGTTCAGGATTCAAGGGCCCCCGTTTTGTTACAGACCCACCGTAAAGGCTCATTTGCATGGCTGGCACAAGCTGGCTCGCATACCAGTCTGGGCAGCTGCCATGGCAACTGCAACCCTGATCTGCATTCGGCCAGGCAGCTGCCCGAGACGGAGGCCTTCGGCTAACCTGGGCGACTCCTCTGTGTTGGGGGGGGGGGGGGCGGGTGCTGGAGATGCAATTGGGACTCCGTACCTCTCTCCTTTCTGGCCAGCTGGGAGGAGAAGTGCTCTGGATGAGTCACTGGGGGGTCCAGTTGGTGGGGGGCCGGGATCGTGGAGGGGCAGCTCCTCAGGCCAGGGGGCTCGGTTGATGCTCTGCCTTTCCTCCCCCCTTCTTTCTCTCCCTCCCCCCCTGCAGGTTTGAAGACCCCCAGCAGCTGTGAGCTAGTGGTGGGAGGGGAGCCCCAATGCTGGGCCGAAGGACGCTGCCTGATTTTTGATGATTCCTTCCTGCACACAGCCTACCACGCAGGCAAGTCTGAGCCCCAGAAACTGGGAGGGCGTTTTCCAGCCCCCCCCCCCTGGTCCCTGTGGGCAGGAGAGGGGAGCCTCTGTGCCTGGACCAACCTCCCTTCTCTTTGCCCCTCCAGGCCCCCCTGAGGATGGACCCCGTGCCGTGTTCATGGTGGACCTCTGGCACCCCAACGTTGCTGCGGCCGAGCGCCAGGCCCTGGATTTTATTTTTGCTCCTGGACGGTGACGTGGGCTCCCCCTTTCCGGAGCAGGTTCCATGTTTCTGTGGAGGGGGCCCTTCACACCCAGCTGACGTGGGGTTTGGCCCCCAGGCCTCTTCACCTCCCCCCCTCCTCCTGTCCACCATTTTGCTTTGGGCTGGGCTGCCCCCCATTTCCCCCCCTCTGTGATTAGGCCAAATGCTGCTATAGTGTCCGCCCCCCCCCTCTTGCTACTTGTGCGTTGCTGTGCCGATTTTCCCACCTGCAGTTCTTGGAGGATGAACTTAATTGTGCCAATCTCTCCCTCGTGAACCTCCTCCAAAGGCAAACCACCCAGTCACCCATCCTCACTGCAGCTTCAAAAGCCACGGTGGGCCCACCCAGGCCAGATCCTGCCCCTCCCGCCTTTCGTTGGCAGAAGTGAGTGGAAGCAAAGCAGGGCGGCGTTTGGGGGACGGCCCCCTTTCCTCCAGCCCTGCATTGGCTCCTCTGTGCCTTCTTTGGGGGTGCTGGACTGGGGCAGCATCCTTGGCGCACCGGTGGAGGGAGGGGCTGCCGTGGGCTCTCCCTGCAGAGTGGCAAGCAAGCGGCAGGAGGAGGAGGAGGGGGCTTTCTGGCCCGCTTAGGGGCAGAAGCTGAAAGCAAGCCAGCCCCAAATGCCATTTCTCACCCATCAGAGTCACGGGCAAAGTCTGCCCCCCACCTGGGGCATGGGGGCATTGTGGCTTGGCCAAGGCCGGGGACTTTCCAATAAAACACTTGTGCTCAATTCCGGGTTTCTTCTTTGTGGCTGGCGGGGGTCACAGTTTGACTTGGGACCAGAGGGGAAAGTGTTTGGCCCAGGAAGGAGCCACCCTCTCCTCTCCTCAGGAGCCAGGAGGAGCTCCGGGGGGCCCAGCTCTCCTCTTTGCTGGGAGCCAATGAGGGCCCCGGGCGTTGGCCGGCTGAGCAGACTGCGGTTGACAGGTGCAGAGTGCAGATCGGGGGGGGGGGGAATCCCCCGGCACCCCTCTGGAACCCTGAGCCCTAGAGACCAAGGGGGAGCACATCTGCTGGAAAAGGCAGCCCAGAAATGGTTGCTATAATGATTCACCCCCTTCCCAGAATCTGGGGGCCCCCATTGCAAACACACTGCAAGACCCGATCAAGTGGGGCTCAACCTCTGGGGGGGAAACGGGGGTCTCGGGGGCAACTGAGGCTGTGGAAGCCACGTGGACAGGGTGAGCTTCCCTCGGCTGCTGGCCCTGCTGCCTTGCCGGCTGACAGACGCCTGGACAGACGGCGGCTGAGGCTCTCTGGCAGCAACTGCGGGCACAGAGGCTGTTTCCCTCCGGAGCCTCTGTTGCCAGGCAAACACTCCCGCCTGGCTGAAAACAGGGCTGCCCCCACTGGCGAGCTCCCAGGGCCCCCACTCCCCTCCAGGAGACCCAGGGATGGGACCAAGAGCGCAGGGGGGGGGGCTCGTTACGAATGCAGGCTGGGAGAGCCAGGAAGCAGCTTTAGTCGGCAGCTTTATTCTCCCCCAGGCCCCTATTTAAGCCCCCAGGCCCCTATTTAAGCCCCCAGGCCCCTATTTAAGCCCCCAGGCCCCTATTTAAGCCCCCAGGCCCCTGCTTTCCTGCAGAACAGAGATTTCCAGAGAGTCCGGAGGAGCAGGGGGGGCAACGGGCCTCAGCCCATCCCAGGGCAGGAACTCCTTAGCAAATACTGCCCGCCCCCAAAATAGGAAAGCCTGGGGGAGTGCCAGCAGCAAGGAGGGCGGGGGCAAGGCAAAGGAAGTGCCACCCTCTGCCATTCAGAAAGTGCCTCCCAGAGGGGGAGGCCCCCAACTGCTGCCACTCCCCCTCCTGGGGCCAAGTCTCTTTCCAAAGGCTCTGCCAGGGGGCGGGTGCTGCACTTGTAGGCACTGGGGAGGGTGGAGGAGAAAGAAACCCAAAGACGGGAGCCACCCACAGTGGGCAGGACCTGAACTCCCCGCTCTCTTTGGCCAAGAGGCTCCCTCAGGCAGGGCCACCCGTGGGAAGGCAAGGAGTCCGTGGGCCAAGCCCGGTCGGCAGCTTCCGAGGCCTCTGTGCCAGGCAGTCCTGGGCAGGTGCGGTGAGTCCCCCTCAGAGCAGGTTCACCCCGTGCTTGAGGAGCTTCTGCCTGGCCTTGCCAGGCAGGCCGACAATGCTGTCCCGGGGGTTGGGCACCCCCGAGTTGTAGGGCGGCAAACCCCTCTGCTGGAAGTAGCTCTCCTGGACGGCGTTCCGGCAGCCGTAGACAGCCGTGCTGGCATTCCTGAAAGAGACCAAGAGACGGGAAGGGGGTCTTTGGCGCTGGGGGAGCAGTGCAGGAAAGACGGCTACAGCCACTGCGCCACCCACACACTCTGGCGAAAGACCCGGGTGGAATCAGAGTTGTGCCTGGTTTCGGTCTGCTAGACGGGGGGCACTGAGCCTCCGCCATTGCTTCTGTGCGCCACGGACAGTGCTGGGCCAACGGTGGCCGTCTCACCCCAGCTGCCCAGTCCCCCCCCCCCCCCCCGCTTTACCTGAGCGTCAGTTCGGAGGCGGTGGGCAGCTGCTCAAAGGTGGCGTGGATGAGGCCGGTGCCTTGCAGGAAGAGCTGGTCCTCGGGGCTCGTGGTCTGCAGGACGTTGGCTGAAGGGACAGGTGGGGCCACCAGTGATGCCGGGGCAGGAGAGGGAAGGCTGCCTCCCCCCCGTCTTGGCCAGAGTCCGCCTCCCAGCCCCTCCCCCACTCACTGGTGAGGACGTTCTGGACGGCGTCGTAGTGAGCAAAGTTGTAGGTGCTCCTGGAGGAGGGGAGGGGGCCCTTGGGAAGGGTCTCTGCCAGGTGCACCTCCAGGCCGTTCAGGGAAGCCAGGCTGCTGTGGTACTGTGGGTTTAGGAGGTTGGGGGGAAGAGAGAGAGAGAGAAAGATTTGTGAGAGCTTCCCCCCCCCCCCCCACAGAGTCCCGCTTGGGAAGCTGTCTGCAGGAGGCCAACCCAGAAAAGGTCCTGGAAGGCAGGGGAGCCAGCCTGGCCCCCCCTCCTGAACAGCTGCCCTCAGGGCCTTGAGCGAGAG